GACGATTTTTTGATTTATCATTTTGAATGATAAATTTTAGTTGAATGTGGTGATGAATGTTGTGATGAATGTTGTGTTGAATGTGGTGCCCAATGTGGTGCCAATTTCACGGTAGCAAATTAATTTATATGATCATTTGAAGTGTTACAACAAACAAATAAGTATCAATGATTCTTGTTTGACATCATGAAAATTCATTTTGTCTTGCATCTGCGACTTGCTTTTAGATTTTTTTGACACTCCAATTCATCATGATGTCGTGTCTTAAAATGTGCTTATAGACAACAACTATTGGTAAATGTGCTTATAGGTAAAGAATTTTTGTTATGTTTAAATGACAATTTAATTCAAAAATAACACCCGGCATTTCACTGTATTGCTAGTGTTGTCCAAAAGCATCCAAGCGAATCCTCTTCATGCCAGCCAAACGTAAACTAGGCAAGTCATTTATAAACTCTCACAGACGACTTAACTGTTTGCAAACAGTTTAATGCAACTATCTTGATCAATTAATCCGAGAAGGCACGAAAAAATTTTGGTTTAACCCTACAGTATGTCAACATGTCAACTGCTAAATATATCTTATGACTAAGTTTGTTGTCATTAAATTTTGAGTTAACTTTGCTACTAGCAAATTGCTAGGACACTGGCTGGTGTATGGTAGCAGAATCATATTTTTGCAAGCTACTACAGTAGGATGGAGAAATATTCACTACAACATGGGACCAAATAGTACTGCATTTTTTATGAGAAATTATCACTTTTGAAATTGTAGCTTGTTGACTTCTTTGACATAACATTTTTTCTTGCTGCATGAGAGCAAAATTGTTTAGATAGTAAACTTTCAATTAAGATATTTCCCATGTTTCATAATTATAATTGTGCATTATGTGTAATGTTTTGGCATTTTGTAATATATTAAGAATCAAGTTTGGATAAAAATTTTTTTCAAGAGACTAAAAGTCAACAAATAGACTTTGCCATGGTTGTTTGTTTGTAAGGGTTCACCTTCACGCTTTGCAATTTAAAATTGCTTATGATTTTATATTTAATTTATTTAATCATTTTATTTATTTCCACTTCATCATATGTGTTCAAGTTTGTTGCATCCATTTTTGCGACTTCTGCCTTCAACTTCATTGCAACCAATTAACCAATGTAAAAACTGGATCAATTGGTATCACACCAAGGGTGAATAATTGTCAGATGAGGCATAGCTATACTAAACTTTTCATGCACAAAGTAATAAGCTTTTCTTGAATAAAAATTTTAAGGTAGAAGCAAATTTTGGCTCAGTATTGTCGAAAGCATTTCTTTTACTTTTGTTTGGATTCATGAAAATGCTGTCTTGCAAAAGAATATAACAAGTTGAATTTTAGTATATTATACTTCTATATTGCATGATATACTTAATTTTTAAAGCAATTAACAGTTTCGTTCCAATGAAATGTCAACCATAAACAGCTCCAGTGCATCTTATTTGGTCTTGTATTTCAAACTGTTTTTAGCCTGTTCATCTTGAACGTTGTGGAATTTATAGTTGTCACTAAGACACTTGTGTAATACATTGCCTATTTACAAGTTCCTCCCCAGTACTAGCTTCTTAATGCAAAGAACAGGAAACTTGTGTGAAAAGGATGTTGCTGAAGATGTGCATCTGTTTATGTATACAAATGTACATTCCGGTATCGGTTACCAAAGAGTCGTTTTCCAATGGCTGTGAAGCTACATGGAAACTGGAAAGAGAGGATGATAGTATCAAATTTGCATTGATTGAGAGCCATATTTGTAGTGCAAAACCAGATATGTAGTTTGGTTTGTACATTCTTTGCCAAATGAATACAGTTAGCAACACACTTTAAGTAAAGGATGGGCTTTATTAGATAGTTGCAGTTTAATAGGCAGCACTTCTTGACAGCGGAGTGGAGACAATTTTTCTAAATTTTATGTGGACAGGTACAGAGGCGTAACTGGATTTGCCCCGAACAGCTAAGTGCATGAAAAACGTAAAAAAATAAAGCGCCGATATAACTTATTGAGTGGTGCACCACTCTTTGTGTAGAACTTCTGAATGGGCAAGCACACACACATTGGTCAACATAGCTACGTCATAGACAAGGCAACTATCTCTCAACAACGATCTATGCAACTGATCTAGAAATTTTTCAGTGTAAGATTAGTATGTCAACTAATAATAATAACGTGTACCAAAATTTTATATACTTCTGCAAGACTGCTATATCCACTTTAATGTCATATATTTAAGTTCAAATGTTGATTTTTTGGAGTGGATGATAAGAGGGAGCTAAAAACTTAATTACTGTAGAAATGCCTGTTTTTGAACATTTAATTTTTTTAAAATGACCGCCACTTGTATGCATTTTTTGTCCTACAAGCATATATGAGCTTATTTTGAGCAAAAGAACATAATGTAGGTCACACGACTTATAGTCACTTATACCACAACGCGATTTAATTTTTTATATTGTATTTAATTTTTAGGTAGTTTTACCAAACAATTTTTAGATAACAGCAATAAAAACGGTCGGGATGCGTAACAAGCAGAAAATTTTCACATTGCGTTGAAATTTTTTCAAACCTTGTCCCTTTTCCTGTTTTTATGGGAAACGATGGCCTGGCAACGTCTGAAACAAATTTGAATTTAATGCCATTAAAATACTATTTATTTTATGCAGCAAACTAATTTGATACGATTTCGGCTCCAGAGCTTGAAGTTCATTCAACAATTTATAAATTATAAAAAGAATTTAAAGGTGTAAAGTTGATTATTTGTTTGCATGCGATCAAATTTATTTCTTGAAAAGATTGCTTCTTTACGGAATGAACACCCATGTTAAGAGATTTAATCATTAATCAATGTGAAATTGATTTTGTACATTTAGATCATGGCTGATGCACAAGAGATCGGTGACTTTTTGTCACCAACACCTTCATTGGAGGACAATGTATCGGTTGAAAACAATTTTCAGGTATACATGAAGTATGAAAGCAGTATTTTTTGACAATGTTATTAAAGTAGTGCTTCGTGTAAAATTTTGCTGGTGTTAGCGTTTTGGTAGCTCTTTCGTACTGTAAGAAATATACCAAACGAAGAAAGAGGGGTATCGTCCCCCAACTGGGGAATTCGCTTGACCAGACTTTTTTGGTCAATATTGGGGCGCTGATTTCAAAAATTGATGTTATACAGGCAATTTCAGCGGCTTTCAGCCTCATTTTCAAGTTTTAAGCCTCGTTTTCTTCAAAATCGTTATTTTATAACTATATTTCCTACAAACATAAACTTTGTAAGACATTGTAAGACGTTTATTAAAAGAGAGAAAATTTCCGTTTACAAAGCCTGAAAAATATAAAAAACTTGCAATTTTCAAATTGACTAGAAGTTCAGACAAAATTCATCGTGATAACAGTTTAGCAGCAACGACGCTACTTTGCCATTCAATCAATTCAGTTAATCGCTGGAACTTTCACGTGTATAACATACAAAATACATACATACATGATTATACATGATCATACATGATCATACATCATACATGATCATCATAGTCATACATCATACATGATCATCATGGTCATACATGATTATGTCGAGTGGTGTGGTATTAGAGATTCGCTTTGCAAAACACACTGCATGATATCCAGGAACTTTTTATCTTTCTCGAGTTTTTTAACAAATATCGGGTAGTGCAGTTTGTCCATGGATACGACTTTTAAGTTTCCTTAAAAGACGCATACAAATTTCCTGATATGTAACAAAGCACCGTGGCATAATACGGCGGCGAGTAAATCTACTTCTTTAATTCATTTACGGTAAAAGAACTACTACTATATTATCTATATACATTACTATATGCTTTTATAGAAAAATAGATGGTATGTTTTTTTGTCACTTCAAAGGCATGGTGAAGAGAGACTGTTTTCTCTCCATTTTTTAAAAACTTGAGAATGTCATAAGGGATTTTCACATCTGAAAGTTTTAAAAAATGCTTTTTGTTGCTTACCCGTGCGAGTTGCTCACCCGTCTGGATATTTTCTTTCTTTGTAGGTGTTATAAGCGATAAGTACTTTTGCACACTTCTCAGTCTCAGCTATTGAATGAAAATTTCGATAGCAATAGCCCTGATCGTGTTTATATTGCTTAAAATTGGGTATCTAAATGTCGGGCACTCGAAAAAGGCAAATATAAAACTTATTGCTCTAGTAAAAACAGGTACGTTGCGTACATGGGTAACCGACAAAAGTAAGGCAGCGATAAGCGGAGCGTAAATTCATGGCTAAGTAGCTAATGGCGATAAAATGACTACTTCGAGCTTAGTTTCACTTTATATTTAGTCATAATTGCGTCATGCCTTATGTGAGGTATAGCCGCAATTTGTAAGTTATTTGAATGGCTTCTCAATTTGGTACGACTTTGTGTTCAGGCATAATTTAGCACAAGAAATATTTCTTCTCCTTGTTGAGATGGAACTTAATCATTAATGGCACATTCAACGCAATATTATACTTTACTCAATGTGTTTAATTAGAACGTATTTTACAATCCTAGGTGTGTAAAAAGTTGCACATGCATTTGTCTACTAAAACTTGGCCCTTGTTGCTATGTAAATTACGGTTTTGCAGGTTTTTTAACACACCCTGTATTAGGGATCGCAGAAGATCGATGATTGGGAAGGGGAGCATGTTCATACATTCATACATACTGTATAATTCGTTATTACAATTATTTTAACATAAACATAGAACATGCATAATATGAGCATCCTCCCCCCTAATCATCAACTTTCTGCGTTCTCCGTGTATTTTTTCTCTTTAGTTACCATAGTGATTACAATTTCGATCGCCCCTCAGTAAATAAACATCAATGATGATAGAGAGAAATCATGCACTTGTTTTTTTATCTGGAGGTTTTATAGATGGTTGGTAACATTTTTCCAATACCATTTCCTGCATTTACAGGTCGATTGCCAAAAGGAGACCCAAGACAAAATGGCTTTTGACAAGGAATATTTGCAGTCAGTACATTCCTACATGTCAAACCTCCGTGTTCCAATAACTTTGGAAGGTCAGCATGAAAAAATTCATGAGTATTGTCGTTTGATTGAATCTATTGCTGAAGTTTGTCAAGTTAAAGTCAGCGAGCTTAAAGAACGTTATGATGAATTCAGTTCAAAGACGTGCGATGAGTTTTCCAAGATGAAAATTGAGGTAATTTTTGTAACTTGTCATTTGTGATCATCAAAATAAGTTGTCAACCATGTTTGTGCGCATTTGTCATCATATTTGATGAACAAAAAACGGAAAACTAGTCACATTGAAGCAAAGATTTGAGTAGTAAAGAATTTCTTTAAGAAACTGTTCATATTATCATCTGAAAAACAACACAATTTATCATGCTTAATGAAACCAAATTTTCCACTAACCTAAGTCTGCACTAACACAAGACACAATCACTTGAGCATGTCACCGGAGAGAAAGAAATCAATTTGTCAAAGTTAGTCACGCTTATTTCAGTACTGCAAGATCTTTCAAAACAACATATTTGAGCATGCGCAAAAGCATTTTCCAATCAGTTTATGCAGGATGTATGAAAAAAACTGATTATCTTTCTCTTGGAAAATTATTTTGTAAAAAAATATTTGTCGATTTCAGAGGCCGCAAATTATGCAGGAATCTTGTGTGTCAGATCATGGCGAAGAATACCAAGATCCCCCGGTAGGTTTTAATTTTTTGGCATGCTTTCAGACTTTATAGATGGGATTCTTAATTTCTTCTTCGACGTCACTGTCATCAAACTCTTTCATATTCGCTCATAGTTAGCTAACTTACACTTTTTGTCTAATTGTTGATTCTCTTTAAATTTCAGCCAATCATATTTTAGATTGTACGATTTAAATTCCTAATTTTTGTTACAAGCCACAAATTAAGCAATTGGTCAACCAAGGATTTGCTATTTTATGCTATTTGATCATAATTTCACATTATCATAATTTCCGTTTTCAATATCAGTCAGACTGCATTTTCTAAAAGTGTTATACTTCCCAATTTTACTGGTTCTGTAGTTCTTCTTTATACAGTTGCGATTTAAGTGTGTGGAAAGTAAAGAACCCATACACTCTAGGTCGTCATTGTACATTGTTTATAGTGTTGTTTTTGTCTATTTTAGCCTCAAAATATTCTGCAGAGCGAAAGGAAAAGTCTTCCACAAGAATGCGATGAGCCAAATACAGACAATCAAGTATGTGTATATATTATTGCTAAGTATGGACAATCCAATTTCCCCAAATATCTTTTACAATATGCCGTAAAGACACATTCAAATCCAATGAAGAAACCACATTTAGATCGATGACTTGTAAACTATTCCATTTCTAAAATATGTCATGTCTGTTTGGTTCGGTGGATTCTAGTTTAGCCATTGAAACCTGAAAATTTCGATATTTCATCTATGAGGAAACGAGGTGCCCAGAAACTCAAATGGAATAAATTGAGTTTAATGTAGGCTAGTTATGATTCCGTGGTATCATAGCTATAATTAATGGGTAATATATGCATTTAATAGTAACAAGTAATGTATGCATGTTTTAGTCCAAAGAAAACAATTGAGTTCAAAAGAATTGGTGGGTAATATATGCTTTTAATAATGCATATTTACACACGGTGAACTGGTACTACATGACTCTACAAAGTCAAACAATGCAATGCGGGCCGAAAAGGCAGTGGCTAAGAAAATTTTTTGGACTTCAATGAAAGATTTGACTTTGTGATTGCTAATTCTTTATCGAAAAAACTCAATGTGAATATAATAGAATTCAAAGAGGATTTTCAGAGGCCCTATACCGAAGTTTCTATTTTTTATGCATTTATAGAAGCAAAATATATTTATCCACAGTCAGCGATATACAAGATGCATATGCCACCATTTTTGACAAAACACAAATTTTATGGTGAAATCATGCTTTTTAACTGCAAGAATCAGATACGCATTTACATCAGTATTGTCTATAACATGACATTAATCAATGATCACAATATGCTTTGTTCCCGTTTCCTATATAGCTAACTAAATTCCAAGTTTACACAACTGCACGTGTTTGTTTTTACTTCTGGATTTTGAAAAATAAAGAGAACCAATTGCAGTTTTCAACGATAATATTATCATTAAAATAAGCATGAAAAGCTAGCTTCAGCATATTCATTTAATTGTAAGTTATAATATTGCCTTTAGACCCACACATAAAACTTTATGTGAAAGAAAATCCAGTGGAGAAACTGCATTTCATGTTAACAACCATTATGTGTTTTCATTAATAATCATACCAGTTTTATCTGCTTTTATTATAGTTTATCCAAAGCAATTAATTGATTGATTGATTAAACTTTATTAAAAAGAGGGTAACACGTGACACAACAAGTGTGAAAAACTTGTGGCCCTCATTGCAAATTTAATCATGCCATCTTGTCTAATATAACATACGCGGATCTGGAAGACGTTGCAGAGGGTGCACTCTTCACTAAGCTCTTATGACTTATTGACTTGTTGATGAAAATGTTATTGTAATGCAAATCTTCCAAATAATGCATTCATCATTGAATGAAATACTGGAACCGCCCTTGCATAAGCTACTACAAATTCGTTTGCTAGTTTACTCAATAAGTGAATGAGGTGGCAAAAAAATTGACATTTATTAAAAACCTATCAATCGTCGAGAGTATAAACCTGGACGTTCTCTAATATTTGATAGTGCAACTCTTATTTACAACACAGTAATTTCTACAAGACTTTGCCTCTACAAAAAGTACGAGTTTAATGCACAGTTTCAAAGTTTAAACTTTTTTTTCTCAGTTTACAACACACTCTATAAACTATCATTGCTTGATTATTTGTCAATTGTAGGCGGGAAACGTGAATGACAATTCGATAGAAGAGCCTGCGCACGAAACAAATACAAATGATGAGGTAAATATGAGGTATTACAATGATGGAACACAAGTATTTTATAAATTAATGTTAGTAAGTTATGAATTGTGTAAATTATGAAGTTACTATTTTAAAGACAGAAGTGTGGGAAGATGACTCTAAGAAAACAACCTTTCTAATATAGTGGCCTGTAAATTTGTAAATTATAATGTTTTGTGTATTTACTCCCAGGACAATGGCTTTAGTTCTCAAGGCATATTAACTGGTGAAAACAATGGTCAAGTGCCATGCACCCTTGAGGAATTATTAGACAGCAAATCAACGCCATTGGAGACAGACGTGGTACTGTACTGTTTTTCAGTCTTCTTTACAATGTATATATATTTAAGGGTACTATCAGTAAGTTATATATTGAGTTTATATTTTCCACAAGATTGATTGTTTACTTGTAGCCTGATGGGCTAAAGCTGACACATGCTATGTGCATGCTCATTCATCTGTTTCAATTCATGATACTGCTAAATGCTCAACTGAGAAACCTGTAATCAATGGTTTGGTCTTAGGTCATAATGTCAGTAGCAACCATTCGAATTAGTTGACAAATTATCAAGACTCGCATTCTTTCTTCGATTCTGTAAAAAATTTCAGGGAAAACATTTTCAAATCATATTTCGTCGTAGCATTCTCCAAATTTGTCATGCTATTTTAAGTTCTAGATTTAAATTTATATTCCGCAAAACAGTAAAATTTTTTAATTTTATTATTCTGAATTATTTTTTAAATATCATTGAAGAACTTCGCATATTGTGAGTAAATTTAAACTACATACTTTGTTTTTATTTCTGATCGAATTTTTAAACTTTTGGTCATTTTTTGATATGATTTCAAAATGGAGTCGGTTTAGAGTGTGGATGATTGGAGGAAAATAAAAGTGCATGAGGTGTACTGTGAAAAATTTACCGTTTAGATTTACGAAATTATATAAAACAAAACTAATTTATTGACATGGTGATATATTATACTATAATTCAATATAAAGAAAGTAATACATAATCACGACAAGAAGAAAATTTTTGTAATTTTTTACATTTTTTATCATGATTTTTTTAATTATGCGTATGAGATCGTAAGATCGTAGCAATTTGTGTTTACCTAAGGGTATAGCAATGACAGTTTCATCAAGCCGCCAAAGAAATATCCCCTCGATTTGCCTTTTACATTTTGTTGATTGGCATGAAGCCTCTTTGTCCATTGTGTACAGTGTATAAAAACAGTTTTCACTGAAAGCTTTTTAATTCAATATTATAATATCTCAGTATGTCGATTACCATCAGCGTTTCTTTTATTCTGGAAAAAAATTTAAGATTTGCACTATTTCAATGTTAATGCTTTGTTCATATTGAGACTCATGGCAAATGCTTAAAGGAGTTTAAAGGAGTATTTCGTGTACGGGATATTTGAAGTATATTTCACCACTAAAGCCCTAGTTTTATAGCTTTTAAACATCCAATTAAAGTTCAAATGTATGGATACGAGTGAATACTTTATCAATGGTTTTCATTTGTTATTTGTAGCTGTTAGGTGTGCAAGACGGCATAAATGGAGAACCTGGGGATGAAAACGATGAAGCAATTGACGATAAGGTATTTTACACGTTATTGGAGCAGAATACAATTGTGTAAGAATTTTTAAGTTATGGCAACTAAATTATAAATCATACAATATAACATGTTACAATACTTTCGTTTTTTAGACAGTGTCGTCGAAAGAGTGCGAAGATGCCTCCTATAAAACAGCATATTCGGTAAGGTATCTTCAAATTATCTTTTAATTTCTTAAATAAATGATCAACAAAAAAAGCTGCTGTTTTTAATAATATAACCTGAACCAGACACAAATGGAACTAATTTACATAATTATGTTAATTATGAAATTATTATTTTATAGACAGAATTTTCCGAGGATGTCTTTGACGAGACAATCTCTCTGGTATAGTAAACTGTAAATTTTCTATAATTTCCATTTAGTTCTAAAATTGTAGACTAACTAACACAACTGTAGAAAAGCTTTTGTTACAAAAAGTGGCATATATCCATATATTCATATTCTGGTGTATCGAACTACTTTGAAATTGATTGTTTCCTGTAAACTATAACATTTATATATGAATATTACCCTTCAGCAGGGATTGTCATATTTCCTGTTCTTATTTGCATTATAGAAAGAAAGAATTGTACTAACACTATCTGAACTTAATCTTAGTTGCTGAAGATTCTCAAACAACCATTTTTATGTCTTAGACCAAACAAAATCCATGTCAAACCACTAGAACCTATTGCAAAGGGTATTTTTTTATGTGAGTCTGAATTAGGTGCAATTTTTTTACTAACTTATTTTCAGATTTTTTGTGTGTTGGTACAATGCACAAAGTAAATACTAAAAAACACGTCAACCCAAATTCCGTTAGAAGAAAGTCACGAAAATGTATAGCAGCGTCCTTGGAACTTATAATGTTTTGTTTCTTTAGTCTCAGGAACGTGACTTCGCTCAACTAATTAAAATAATTGATGAAGACAATGAAGATAAATTTAAAATCGTTAATGAATCATGCGAGAGCAAATCTACGTCATTGGAGATGGACAAAGTATTGTAGTGTTTTTCAGTTTTTACAATACATACTTTCATGGAATATTTTTGAAAATTTAATTCTTGTCAATATTATTTATTGAATTTTTGTTTACCTGTAGGTCGATGGATTATGTGACACATACTATGAGATGGAGGAAGGTCCTGCTGTTCCAACAAATGAGATTACTGAATCTTCATCCGAGGAGCCTGAAATAAACGGTGTACACTCGAGTTATAATGTCGATAGCAACCATTTGAATCATTTAAAGAGCAATCAAGATTTACAACCTTTCGCACATTCCTTAAAATTCATCAAAAGGGTAAACATTTTTTATACAATTTCGTCAGGACATTTTGAATTCTAATTAAGAATTTTGCTGACTGAAAAGCTCTTAACGCCAAGCTATTCAGAACGATGACACATTTTTGCTCAATGACGAAACAATATCTGACTTTTTCTATATTATCTAAAATTTCAAATCTTCCGCAACCATTTTGATGGAATATTTCGTGTACATCACAGTACAATGTATGAGTATATTTGTTGTGATTATTTTATAGACAATATAATTTCAGAATACTTTTCTTAGTATAAGTCATGAATCACATGATAATATCCTATACTCTATAAGAAACATCATAAGAGAGGAAATACGTTTAAGAAACAACGTTTAAAGTAAATGGTTTGAACCCGGGAGTATCGTTACATGTTTGTAAATGATAACATCACGGAATCACAAAGAATTCGCCGAACATTACCGAATCACAAAGCACAACATTGACTGGGACTCGGCAAAATGCATCACTTACAGTACTGACTATAGACAACGGCTTACATTAGAAAGTTGGTATACCAACTTGGAACAAACCCCCCTGAACAGATCACAGCAATTACCGGCACCTTACAAACGACTTATTCACAATACAAACAAACGATCAACTACAAACATTACACTTCACACTAATTCACAATGACAATACACAATTGACACCCACACATTACAACTAAAAACATCACACCTAAATTACACATCACAACTAAAAATAAAATATTTCACTTCACACTAATCCACAATGACAATACACATTTCCTGTGCACACAATACAATGACATAAGAACCAGATAACAAATACGGCTAACCTGACGTTTACTCCTCATTTTACTCTGAATATGACTACCGCTAAGGTTGTCGAAACGTCAGTCAAAAACAACAAAAACAGTCCTTCTCAGGACTTTATTAACCTGGACGATCATCATTTACAAACAAACAACGTTTAAGTTAAAAAAATGTGCATCTGTCATATGTCATTTGTCCTCTGTTGTATTTTATACTTTGCCAATTAAAATCTGCATGCTATGAATTCAGGAGGCAAAAAAAGCTCAATTTGAGTAAAAACTACAGGGGCGTATCTGGAACGTGCATGGTAGCTAGGACGTAACTAGTAGGGACGTTATTCATGTATTCAATTGTACCCAACTGATTTCTATAGAAAGCAGACTCAATTTCAAGAGAAATCAGGAAAAACGATGGAAAAGCGTTGTTCTGTAAATTTGCACCATGTGCGTTGGCTAACCTACTACTGTTGTTAACTACCTTGCAAATTTATTTCTGTCCTGTACAGCTGATTCAAAAATTGGGTCAGATTTCGTTGGGCACCAAGTTTGTGATGAAAATTTTGAAGTTGCTGAAAGATGAGCAAGAACTAAATGAGCTAATGAAAGAAGAAAATGAGGATTGGGAAAAGCTAATGAAGGAAGTAAATGAGGATTGGGAACAGCCAATGAAGGAAGTGCTAGCAAAACTAAAAAAAACGGTGGTGATGCCATGTACAAACGTTCTTATTGCCCTACAAAGAAAACGCTTCTTAACATCATTCGTCAAAAAAGAGTTTGGTGTTTACAGAAAACAGTATTTTCTAAATACAGCTATTAATGAATTTAAAATGTCGCAGCATAAAGCAGGACTTATGATTTATATCACTGCCGAGAAGAGTCATTGTGTCGTCTTGATTAAGGACAAAAATGGTGAAGAAGTGAATATTTACGACGCTACTATCAACGAAGATGAAGTCGAAAATTTGGAAAATCTTCGCAGCTTACAGATCCTCGTATTGACTTATACGAATGATAAGAATGATAAGATACCTCTCATTGAAAAAGAATGGTTTATGTGCAAAGAGTTTTTTTGTTCAAATAACTATGATGAAGCGCACAAAAGCAATATCTCAGCCAATTAACTGGATTTTTCTTTTTTATAGTGATTTGCAATCAATTTTGTAATGCATGTAGTAAGTTGTCACAGTTTTACGGTTTATTAATTGGTGAGATGTCAAATTTTTGAGTATCATATAATCACAATGATTTTTTTCTTAAAAATCGTTTGTTTAAGTGTAAATTTGGTGAGAGCTTTTGGTATAAATATGTATCGTTATAGTTAATTGCTACGTATAATATATCTTTAATAATAATAATAATGATGATGATAATGATGATGATGATAAATTATTTTTGATTGCAAAGAAAGCACATTACATAATACAACTGAGCTGCGTGAATAATAGATTCATGTACTGTAGGAAGATCATAAGAAGCTATAGAAAAATTGCAAAAAGCTCACACTAACTCTCCCAAAAAGAGGAACCCAGACCCATTGCGAGAAAAACTTTTCGATAATTCAATGCAAAATATGCGACTTTAGTTTGCAAGTAGCCAGTCATCTCATATTTTGTATAATTTCACATTTCTCAAAATCTAGTTTTTGTTCAAGTCTAGTCTTATTGTTGACAATGATTACAAAAGTTCCATATTTCTTTTGCATTGTAGTTTACTGTCTTATACTTATCATTGACAACAGATATTTATTGAAGTCATTACTCTCAGGCATAAGGAGTCGTTACTGATCTCTTCTAGATCGAAATTTTCGAAATTTTCCGGTAGGAAGAAGAGATTTTTTGGGATGCCAGAGTTAGTTTAAAATTGAGATTTACGAATGTAGTGACTATTCCACTCTTCCATAACCCAGTTCAACTCGTTTTTGCTAGATATTCTTAAAGCAGAACCTGATACAATGCAAATGTACCTAATTCATTACTTGCATCAAGCCAGCTTTCTTGTATCATGTCTTTAAAGAAATTTATCCACCAAGAACTCCATGAACTCCTTAGGAAGACCCACCAACCTCCAATGCGTTGATTACTGTAAGAAGACCCAAAACGGTGGGCCTTCAAACCAGGAAGAGAATCTGTAAAATTCCTTCCCTGAAAACACGGTGCCGACGAAATGATAGTATTTTCAGTGCCTCGGTCAGTGCGCACGAGTGCTGGACAACCCTCTATATGCATGATAGCATTTATAAATAATTGTCCGATAACTCTTGTGTCGTTATTACTCTTTTCTATTTTTAGCCAAATCACAAGTCGACTAAACTCATCAATACATGCATGTATAGGTAGCCCATATGGCTTGAGTTTATCGTAGCCATCGACGCGCCAGCAGTAATTTGGCTCTGGATTAGAATATTTTCTTCTTATAAGTCAATGGGCTTGTCGGCCACAGACACCTTCTGGGTCGATTTCTCGGAGTAAATCTTGTACCGTCCATCGTGGTACATTAATTCCATATTTCAAGTGAATTCGCCGCCACATTGCTCTGTAGCCCTGAAGACGATTTCCACAACCTGGCAGTTCCAAGTTGATGAAATCATTAAGGACATCCTCGTTAACGATACGATTACGCTTACTCAAACCATAACCTCTTAAACGAATTAGGAGAGTGTGCTTCGACATCTCAATGCCATGATACTTGTCGAGAAACTGCAATATCGTATTGTAATAGTAATTTCTTTGAAAATAATATCTAATTGCTACTTCCTCCTCCATTTTCCATCGTACTTTCGACACTTGCAGTAAATACAAAAATGCCACAGAGGGCTTATGACAGGTCCTATCATTTATTTTTTTCTTATCAAATGTGTTTTGTGTTTCCAAATGTTTTTTGTGTCTCCATATGTGTTTTCTATTTCCCAATGTGTTTAATTTAAACAAAAATGTGCATAAAATAGTTAATTGCGCTATGTGCTTGCTTAAAATTATAGAAAACCGTGAATTAAGCTTTCGTTTGTCACTTTTGTGTTTTGCAATTCTAGGCCACCGTGTAAGATTTATATGGCTTTTCAAATTTTAATTTTCAAAATCCATAGTTCTTGTGTTTGGAAGATTATTACATAAAGAAATTTTAAAATGTACTAATTAATACAAAAAGTACCGAATTATGTAAAAAAGGATATAATAGTAAATTAAATTAGAAATTCCTAAGTTATACCTCACTGGTAAAAGATGTATTTGATAAAACTAACTTCTACTTTTTTTTAGACTTGTGTTTTTAGCTTTAAACATATAGACTTAAACTTGACAAATCTTAACGCTTTTATTTTAAACGATTGACCTCAATCTTAAATGTGGTGTTTAAATATATATATTTGTTTTACTCTTAATAAATAAGCATGCTGCCTGATATTTTTTAAACTGGTAACCAGAGCAAACTATATTTTTTACAATTTTTAAAAATTTTCACAAATGGACATAAGCTAAAAAAATATATTGTAAACTATCCCATCTTATCATTTTTAGATTATAATTATAAATGAAATATATAAAAGGAAAAAATGAGGAAGATAAAATTCACACTTGTCTCTGCATAGTAAACTTGTCTCTGCATAATAAAACTCTGCATAATAAACTTATAACTTTCATCACCTTAAATACTTAGTCTCCATTCCATATGGACATAAATGTGTTTCTTTTTGGATTATAACTAGCGAATAGCTGGCACCACTGTTTTACTAGCACCTATGCCGGAACCCGGGGTTGAACCCATGACCTTCAGATATTCAGTCTGACCCTCTCCCAACTGAGCTATTTCGGCACCTTACATCACGTACTGTGTACAAAATGTATTAAAGAAACAGAGCGTATAAATATTTCCATACTCACCAATTACCATCCTTACAATAATGAATTGTTTAAGGTGAAACACAGCTCAACTGTTCTCTTAACTTACCAATAAATGCACGCTGGTACCTTTGTTTAAGAAAATATAAATTGAAGAGAAATAAAAATTAATATTTACTGCAAAAGATATGCAGGCTGCATGCACGATTTGAAGCTCCATGGGAAGCAGTTATCTATTAGCCAAATAAAAAAACCCTTTAACTTATTGACTAACTACTTTGTTTAAAAAACCACAACAATTGCAAAATTAGATCTTCAGACCAAGACACTGCAACATGGAAGGTCTACGAATAAATGCTTAATATTTTCATTTAAATTTTTATTTCGAGTAATTAAAAAAAATTGTAAATAACATTTTTAATGATCTATGCAGTTTGAAATCCTTCATACTTAATGAGATATTTGATGCCGTTAAAAGTAAGTCCAATTTTGCGAGGGATTATTTTAAATATCAAGAGTTATATTTCAAAAAAGTTAAAAAACGTACTAAATCACCTTTTTTGTTCGTCCAATCATATAAATTTTAAAATTATAAAACAATAATTGTGACAATCAATGAAGATGTTGTTAAGACCCACGTGTAAAGAGCACATTGGAGATTATGTTGGTTTTTTCTTATATATAGGTAAAACAAAGAGAAAAGACCAATTATTCTATGAAAAAAAACATTTCAATGAAAGACCTGTTGTTAATAGTGAATTCACGATAACAGTGTAATGCCTAAAAAACTTGAATTGTACTAAAGCTGCTCTTAAATGCTAAATTTCACTCTGACAATATTTGTTTAATCTTTGACAGAAAAAAATTTAGAATTTGTTCTGAAAAGGTGAATTTCTTTGGAACTGAATGTGGAGGTGGGTAAAGGGTCGGTATCAACTGGCATGGCTTTAAATCTAAGCTGTTTTACAACTTTGAACATGTGATATCTCATTTTTATCTGAACTCATTACATAAAGGTGTGAATAAGGGTATCTAGGGGGTCTTTTAAAGACTATCTTGTTCGAATAGCTTTATTGTATAGTAAATTCTATGATCTTTTACGATTGGCAAAACAGTTGTAAGTATTGTTCACTTCTCAGTTGTTTTGTGAAAAACGTTTGCAAAATGTGTTGTTTTTACGCAAAAACGACGCCAAAAAAAAACATTCTACATTGCTCTAAATTGCACTTCCGAGGCTTTGAAATCAAAAATTTCCCAGGGGAGCATGCCCTTGTATTCAATTATTTAAAAATGAATAAATCACTGTTTGCAATCAATCAATTTGATAAATAATTTTCGGACTTTAAACGTCAGTCGCATGATTGATTTGACGTACGAGATCCACTCCTGTTTGTGTTGACGGGTTATGATTTGTTTATGGTTACAAGGATGGCACCTTATAAAATTAATAAAATCATAACTCTACACGTCACAAGAACGCCGCGCGAATTCGACGTGCGAAATGAATCGATCGTTACATAAGAAAAGAAGATTTTGCAATTTTTAGTAAATTCAAGTCTCGTATGTATCACTTAATCCTTTACTGCATGGTGGTTCAGGGCAACAAACACCAAACACGATAGAGCTCGGTCTTAAAAATCTCATGCAGCAAAGGACTAATAAACACGATGTAAAGAAATGTGCTTTTGCTGCTGCTTTTGAGTTTCGGATTCTTAGCTTTGTCAATACACTGTTGTTAATGGTTTTGTTCTTTCGTACGATTATCAAGAAATTTTATGGGGCTGCGCGGTTGAGGACGTCATGTAAGTAATCGCTTTTTGAACATTATAGTAATTTAACAAGTAATTTTCTTTACTATTGATACATCATGTCAAATACCCATGTATTCGCAAGGCGATGTACCAATTTGCAAGGACAGACACCGCTAAAACACTATCCCACAACTATATATCATAATTTGCATTTTTTGATGAATCTGAAGACGATCAGATGAAGACATTTTGAAAAAAAACGGCGCAATACTTGAAATATCGGCAAAAATATTGATTATTTTAAAAAGCAAATAATTTGTTTTGAATAGAGCCTACGAGATTGTGTTCCTTACATGACGTCACAACATGTACTGGATACCAGACCCAATTGGGAAAAAATGTAGTGAAAATCTTGACTTTTAACCCGTAATTGCGAAGAAAGCTTTGATCTCAATTCATTTGTTGTTTTATATTTGTAGTTTTCTAGAGCTGCTTGTTCAATCTATACTAAAATCCTATAAGGTTTATATAAACTTCAAATAACAGTTGTCTTAAAGACCAAAAACAGGCCATTTTATCAGGCAACAATCACGACTCATAATTTATTGAATTATTTTGAAATCACGTAATCTGCGCAATATGAGTTGCCTAAACATCTCAAATCACGGTAAAAAGAAACACAAAGCTAAAAAAAATTGATTGTGATAATATTAACTATAAAATTTTTAAAAAAATATACACAATATGATCACATTTGAACACTGCAGCTTAAATTTCAGGACACACTTTTGCCAACCGAAACGCAAGGCATTTTTTTTGGACTGTAGACATATAGTGTAAAGTCCGTAGACATAGTCTGTAGACAAATAGTACTATTATAAATAGTACTATATACATACGTGGCATAGTAATATGTGAACTTAATTATGAAGTCACGGCAAACAGAAATTTAAAAAAATAAAACAGGAGAGAACAATATGAGAGTAAGGTGAATGATGCGTAGGCAATACATTACATACAATCATCGATTTATGTATTTTATTATTCTTTACATATACAACATTTTAGCATGAATAACATGTTTAGAACGACTTAGGCATTACGGTGCTTTTGATACAGTTTCAAAAGAATAGTAAGCATTCTACTTTCCAATAAAAGGAATTGTAAGATCACGACAGGCTGTTAAAAGAACAAAAACATGTTTAAAATAAATGCAGGCAATAATCCATGTTACTATTTATAAAATAATGAAGAAAAATAATTGGATGAAATTTTATTAGTACTTACACCCAGAAACACATCTGTTACTACAACAATCCACGTTCACTTTGCAGGACATGGATATTCCAGAACATTCAAAATCACTTCGGGGGACACCAAGTGCATTTAAACCTAATTAATTCAAAAATCCACGTGTCATAATAATTTATACTATGAATAAGTCATACGGGCAATTATGCAATAATGCAGAGCAATTGAATACTTTTCTGATAAAAAATACAAAAATTGATTTTTACAGTTTTACAATAGTTAAGCCCATCTAGAACAGTCTTACCTTTACAGAAAAATGTCATTTCACTTGTATGTATTTTAATACTTTTCAGAATCACAAAAACTTAAATGTCAGATAATTTATTTACATACATGACATTTTAACATGAACAAGGCCAATAATTATATCATATAATATATATGCAATTTACCGGCTACTGAATAAAAATATTTTGCCGAGATCTTAATAGATGCCTAGGACACAGTACATGGATATTCAGTAGCACTTCACTGTGCAACTGTCTGCTGTATATTTAATTAGTTTACTGGCTGCCGTTTGCCATATCGTCAATCCTATTAGTCATACAATGCAATTTACTGGCTGCCAATATGGTAATCACGTGCGTAATAAGATATGCGTGACACGAAAAAATTCACCTTGACGAGTGAATAATTTTCCGAACTGACATAAACGGTAAATAACATATTTATTTGTTTTATTTTCATAATGAAGAAGTTCATGCTGTAAAATTGCCAATATCGAATTGTATTTTACAATGTTTACTTCGTCTAGATAGTAAAACTTACTCTCGCTATGGTACTATCATCTGAATTCATTTTGCATTCTCCTTAAACAATTCACATGACTTTTAAGTCAATTTTATTTAGTTTCACTTTGTAAACAAAGACATAGCAAAATAAAGTCACTTTTCAACCACGGTCAAGTTATCGTAAAAAGCTGCCGGCTGCCGCAATCAGATTGCAAGAAATCAAAAAGTATCACTTTGCGTGCATAAATTAAATAAAAAATAAATTATGGTAAAATAAATTTATATATTTTCACTAGCAGAGTAAATATTCTACTTTCCAGTAACAGAAATACCTTTAATTGGTGTAAAGGGTTCTGGCAAAGTAGAACATTGTCTTGTACCATCTGTTTAAGATAAGAAAAAAATTTTATAACTAAAAACAGACCTAACCACTTTGGTTTAATTTATATTTTAACGAAGAAACGTATTCAAATGAAACGTTTAGAAGTACTTACTACCAATATCAAGACAATATAAACCCAAACAGCAATCCTCGTATGTATTACAGCTGTTTGTATATTTACCACACCGAGAATTATATAGGGGAACACCGAGTGCACCTGAACCTAATTAATTAATAAATCAATGTTTTAAAATGATTAATGACATGGGATACGGAAAACCAAGTAATATTAGAGAGGAATTAAATCTTTTGCTGATACAAAATACAGAACTGATTTTAATAATTTTACAATTTTTTGAACCTATCTACGAAAGTTTTACCCTCATAGAAACATATGTAATCCTATTTTTGCTTTTCCCACATGTAAATGTAATATTAAGTGGCTTAAATCAAAGAGACTTTGTCAGATGTTGAAACAAATGTTGTAAAGTAACATAAGATGATCTTTTTTTATTTGCTAAACGTGAATTCTGCCAGTCTATGAATTTAGTTCTTCAACGTAATTTCTTTAGAATTCATACAATACATCAGTTGACTTGACTGACAGAAGCTTTATTATCGCTTGGACATTTGCGGCACTTTTAATGCGCGTCCATATCAGTCCTTATAGTCCTTATAAGGACTATCGTATACGACCCATGTCTTGATTGCTAAATAAACGTGATTCAGTGACAGAGATTTTTCGCTCCAAGAGTTTAAGATGTTAAAATGATGATGCTGCCCGTCAAATCGACGAAGGCTGTCTGCAAATGTCCATCTAGTTCACTGACTTCCACAAGCGCGCTCGTGACTTAACATGCCAATGCGACTTGCGCAGGTCCTGTTGCAGTGTTGGCAACGAAATTCTCCCAAGTCTGCGACAGTGGAGGCATTCCTGGTAGCGTGACGTCTTGATCGTTTAACAGCGATGCTCCGCCGCCTCAAATCATCATTCTTGTTGAGACCGTTACGTGACTTGTCTCTCCAGTCGCATCGATCCGCCGCTTCGAGCTGCCAATTATCTATTGAAATTTGACATGTTTTCAAAGTGTATTTGAGAGAGTGTTTCCAACGCAGGAGCGGACGACCAGTACGTCTCTTTCCTTCAGCTAGCTCTCCAAAGAGTAGCTGTTTGGGTAATCAATTGTTTGTCATGCGAACAACATGACCAGGGCAGGCTTAGTAGGCTGGCAGCCTCTAGTGCGAAATTCGATTGCTGGCGGCTTGGATTCTAATAATCGTTGGATGGAATGAGAGATAATATCCTTCGGTATTTCACCAAGCGACGAAGATGCCCTTTTTAGGGATGCGCACCCTCCCCCAATCCGGGGAAGCTCCTAGAAAAGGTGGAGTAAAACGCGCTCTCATTACTCGCCTGCTCAGCACACCGCGGCTGGGGGGTACTCACTCAAAGCGGTCGAAATAACAATGAAATTCGAAAATTTGTGGCCTGGAACGTAAGAACCCTAAATGACAATCCAGGAAACATTCGTCCTGAGCGTTCTACCGCTGTTGTAGCCCGTGAGCTACAACGTTATAATATTGACGTTGCTGCTCTAAGCGAGACAAGACTCCACGATTCGGGATCACTCACAGAGGCAGCGGGCGGATGCACTTTCTACTGGAAAGGTAAACATTCTTCAGAGAAACACGAATCAGGAGTTGGCTTTGCTATCAAGTCCTCCATCCGATTATCTGAGCTTCCAGTTGGACATTCGGACCGCATCATGTCACTTCGTTTGCTGTTGAATAAGCAACGTTCGCTCCATCTCATCAGCGTGTATCCTCCTACTATGCAGCATTCTGACATCATGAAAGATGCATTTTATGAAGATTTGTCAGCCATCATTCGCACTATTGCAGCCCACGACAAATTTATCATCCTTGGCGATTTCAACGCTATAGTTGGCAATGATTTCCACACCTGGCCATCCGTTCTCGGTCACCATGGCATCGGCAATGTAAACAGCAATGGTAATCTTCTCTTGACAATGTGCGCTGAAAACAACCTGACCATCACCAACTCGTACTTCCAACTACCAAACAAATTAAAGACAACATGGAAGCATGCTCGCTCTGGTCACTGGCACCTAATTGACTACATCATTACAAAGTCAAAAGACGCATCAGACTTCCATGTCACTAGAGTCATACGAGGTGCTGATTGTTGGACGGACCATAGACTTCTAATTTCAAAGGTGTGTCTCAAGATCAGCAAACCTGCACCCAGAAAAGCTCAGAAAATTCCGAAGAAATTCTGCGTCTCGAAACTCAAATCAGAAGAAGTCGCAACATCCCTCAGAAACTGCATCGACGAACAGCTACAGAATATATCGGTGCTCCAGAGTGGGATAGTCTTAAGACGGTTCTTCTTAACTCAGCTGAGACTGTTTAAAAACACAAAAAGCTAGTAAATAACTCTTGCAAAAATTCTCCCACAACATTCAAGAAGATTTTTAAGTAAATATTGCTGCGACAACGATCATCATTCTGTTGACTTAACATATTAATGGCTTGTCTTGAAAACTCTAAATAAACCTTACTAAACTACTCCCTTTGTAGTGTTTTTAAGAAGCAATTATACTTTATGGATTTCAAGTATAAGGATGGCCTTATCCTAAATTTTGGAAATGTAGCTCAAGTTAAGAAAAGCAGTACAAAACACTAATTCTAATTAGTTAAAACTAATTCTTTAAGTAAAGTTAATTATCTTTTAATATTTAGGATGCAATAATACTTCACTACAAGCCTTTGGTGTTGGAATTAAAATACACAGGAAAAATTCTGTCAGCATTTATGGTATTGTTATCAATGGACCCATTGTGAATTTTGCTACTTTTGTTCATTTTTCGTGTTTATCTTCGCTCACGTCCTATTTTATGATTGTTCGAAATATACTCACAAATCTTTGAACGGAATAAACAAGATGTATTTGCTTTCTATATGTATATTTCACTAACGTATGATTGACATGTTTTTCTTTCTATTTAGCATTTATAATTATTAGTCTCATCTCTTCATGCACTGAACTACCCTTTTTATCAATCTTTCTTACACTCCCCAGGGTTGACACAATAAAATTTTGTCAACAAACAAAACAAAAAACAAAACTATTTTTTGCTAAGAATGTACAATTGTTTAGAACTTGTTTGTATTCTGCAATCTTCGCAACTGCCCTGTTATTCCCGCGCTGCGCTGAAGTCGCTCAGTTGGACGAAGCACTTGTTCTTCTTGGCCGTTCTTATCGCACTCTACACTTTCGTTATTTTCTTCTTCCTGATGAACCTCAATTGGAATAGTTGCCTGAGAGAACGCTGCAACAAGTGTAAATGATTAGAGTCTCCACGAAGGACACTGACTTGTGCAGCTCGTGTGATTCCATCGTCACCTTGTAACTATTGTTCAACTTTTGCCATCTACCAAAAGATACGTTTTGTTTGATCGTTGTGAATAATGATGATATCTCCAACTGCTATTCCGGGATTTTGATTACCTCTGGATTTTGAAGTGTATTGCTTTCGTAAGGCTAAAAGATACTCGTTTCCCCATTGAAGAGTAAACGTTGCAGCAAATTTTTGTGATGTTTCGCCTTTTTCGTCAAAGATTGATAGGTGCTTACTGTTTGGCATGGTCGTTATTTGTCTTCCATTCACCAAGTGCTTAGTGGATGAGATACAGCTTCTTCATCGTCGTACACGTAGGTTAGGGATCTTGCATTTATTACGCCCTCAATTTCAACAACAATAGTATGCAACTCGTCGTAGGTTTGATTGGTTGTACCAACTATTTTTCGCAACGGACGTTTCACGCTTCGATTCAAACGTTCCTAGAAGCCTCCCCACCAAGGGGCCTTTTTGACGATAAATTGCCATATAATCTGATGGTTTGCAAGATAGCGTAACACGTCCTCAGAAAGACATAACTTGCGCATTTCTAGGCATGCAGCTCGAAAAATCTTGGCATTATCAAATATAAGAAGAGCTGGCAGTGTTTGTCGACCTGCGTATCTGCGGAACGCGCGGAGAAAAACTAAAACGCTTAAGGATGGATTGAGCTCCAAATGAATGGCTCCAGTAGACACACACGCAAACAATAGAATATACACCTTTGTAAGATTGTCCGACAAATTATTCTTATCGAAACTCTCTCGTACGAACAACGGTCCGGCAAAGTCCAAACCTACGTTTGTGAAAGGGGCATCATCCGACACTCTGCTAACAGGAAGATCTGGAGAAGACGTTCCCCCATAAGAAAAACTTTCAGCTTTACGACAAACAACACATTTCCTGACGATTTTCTTTACTGCTTCTCGACCACGGATTATCCAAAGATGCTCTCTAATGGTTGTTAGTGTATCACGAGTCCCGCTGTGCTTCACATCGTGGTGAGCCTCGCATATTAATAACTCGAAAAATCTTGACTCCTTTAGAAGCAATACAGGATTTTTGCTCTCCAGATTCAGTAATGAATTCTTCAGTCTGCCATGGCACCGCAGCGCGTGATCACCGTCGAGAAATAGCCCAAATTGCTTAACATAAATAGGTATTGAAAAATTCGTAATATTTGACAGAAGGAATAACATTTCTTTTTCAAAGTATAGTTGTTGAATAAACTCTATCTATAGCAGCTGCGCCTTCCTTACTTCGTCTGAGCTTAGTTCTTCTGATGTTGTGAGTTTGTTTGTTGTTCGCTCGCACCATGGCATCTTCTTTAACATTTTAATGAATCTCATTACATAAGCAGTTATTCGAAGAAGTTTCTTCATGGATCGATAACGAGTAGTGTCGAGTGCTTTGTTAAGATCTGGCATGGCTCGTTGTTCGATTTCATTTGAAACTAGTGACCTCACGACATTTGGATGCTCTTTCACAATTTCCCACAGAACTTCGGCACTTTGTGAGAGGGTGCCAACTGGACGTTTTGGCCACACTTCTTCGCCCCCGGCCAAGAATTTGGCTCCATTGTACCATAAGGAAGATTACGAAAGTAGTTGCCAAGAAATGCCTTTTGAGGGTAAATCTGCAGGATTAAATGATCCAGGACAAAGTTTCAAGATTCCGTCAACGAAATATTTTGAATCTTGTTCAATCGATACTGCACGAATGGTTTCCATGCTCAATCGTTTCGTATCCAGTGAGGTGCTGTCATCGAGTCCACCCAATAAAAAACTTCCACACTCAAATTGAGTGCCTTTAACAAAGACTCTACTAACTTCGCTAGTACAGTCGTTGCCACCAGCTCTAAACAGGGAATCGTTTGCTTTTTCACTGATGCGACCTTTGTCTTTGAAGCAATTCATTTCACGTCGATGGTACCATTCTCATAGACTGTTCTTACATAGACAACATCAACAATTGCATCTTCAGGTACACCACTTAAACCATGAACTTGTGCAGTAAAATATTTCGGTTGGGGGTGGATAGTAGCACCTCGGTACACGAACACCATTTAGAAACTCTGACAATAAAATGTTCCACTGTTCGCGTAGATTGCCATAAAGTTCGCAGTCCCATCCCAGTCTATCCAAGCACATGATTTGAAACAGAATTTTGAGCCTTATCGTAAAAGGAGACAAGAATCCAAGGGGATCGAAGATTTCAGATGACAATTTCAACAACGATAGCTTTGTGACAGGTAATGAATTGGCTTTCTCCATTATTTCAGTCTAATTGAACAAAAATGTGTCCTCCACCGTATCGTCCACAATTCCTAGTACCTTGACTTGAGTGGGTTCCGTGAGCAGTGACTCTTTTGCAATTGTTGACTTGTAAAGGACTGATAATCTTGAGTAATAGATTACTTCTCGCCAATCAACCTAAAATTCTTGCTACCTTCCAACGCCTTGATAGACTACGTTACTGGAATTCAAGTTCCATTTTCGCAAGTTAAATCCACCTTTGGCCGTCAACTTCTTTGTTCCCTTGTATATTTGTTCCCTTGTATATTTTGTGTCCGGTGTTTCCGCAAAATCATTGACAAAATCATCGACATAGAGAGAACTTTTCAAGTGTTCAACAGTTTAGGGCTCCTGCTTCTCGTGTATCTTCAAATGATGGTTGATAGTAGCTCCTAGAATTGCTGGCGAAGTCGTAGACTGAAAACTAATCGACAAAACCTTAGCTCTAATTCTTCTGAATGATAATCCCTGGCATTCCTTAGCCTCAAAAAAGAAGCACGTCTATATCTTCCTTGTCAATACCAATCATTAAGAATGCTTTCTCAATATCAGCAACTAGCCCAATCTTGTTTTGTCGAAATTTGACGAGCAAATCAAAAATTTATGGAATGAGTTTCGGCCCGGTCAGTAAGCAATCGTTTAGTGAAAAGTTACGCAAGGTCGTCGTAACAGATCCATCATATACAACGAGTAGCTTCCTAGTAACTTTATCATTTCGTATGACACAATTATGGTGAAGATAGTGAATTTTACCACAATTGAAGCCTTTCTACTTTTCCTGCTGCCAATTGTTCAGTAATACAATTATTATATTCTTCAAGATTTTGTGGATCCTTTAGCAGTTTTCGATGCAATGATCTCTATCTATTATGACAGAGTTCGTAATCGTCATCAATTTGCACATGATCATTTTTCCACGGCAGACCAACTTCGTAGCGTGTTCCAGTGAATCGAATATTTCGCACGAAATATTGTTCCTCGGGTGAGTTCTCTGAGTCAAAGGAGTCAATGGCAACGCTCTCAGTTTACCCAAGACGCTTCAATGATAATGTTAACTCATCCCTTTCGGTTACGACAGTAGAATTAGCAAGGCAATCGGCTGCTGAAATGAGGCTGTTTAGAGTATGTCTGTTTGATTTTTACGATGACCATCCCAATTTGCTGCTCATCACTGTTCGACCATTTTCTTCTCGTACAATATCTTCAGTGACTACGTCCCAATAATGATCAGCTCCTATCAAGATGCCGATTTAATCACAGCTACCATTGTCAACAGAAGAATCAAAGTCTGCAAGTTTTAAACCATGGAGGTGTGGATGTATTTATCCTTGTAGGAAGTGGTGCACATGTTGTTGGAAATGCAATTGCTGTAATCTCTACCTCACCTCCACTCTTGTTTGCAATGCTTACCTTGAACACTACGCAGTATTCTCGTTTACTCAAAGGTATTTAATTGAAGAGTCTCCTTACCAATTGAATTTAACCTTAAACGGCCTTCATGTGACCTTTGAATGTAAGACCTTTCAATGTAAGACCTCTGGCTTCTAGTGTCGAAGAGAATTCGTGCTGAAACCGATTTTGATCCATTGGATACAAGAGCTCTGGCCGTCTGCAAAATAACACTTACCTTGACAGTTCGTGTGACAGCTGTCGTGGTTGGAGAGGTTACACCTTCTGGTACTTTTTGTGGATTGGTTTTATTAATTGCCTTCTCATTTTGGACACCGTGACTGT